TCCCTTCCCCTCTCTCTAAAAATAAATAGGTAAAATTTTAAAAAATGAAAAGAAAGCAGGGATAACTAAATAGACTACAGAATGTAGCGGACCATTTGGGGCAGAGCCATTAAACTTGGGACTGCAGACCTGCCCTGGTTGGCTGAAGTGAACACAGCTTGGAAAAGGCATCTAGACTGTTCAAAAAAATAAAGGAAGCTCTGCTCAGAAAGCTTCTCAATGGACCAGAGAAAGAGAAGGTCTCCGCCCCTCCCCGCCGCACCCCGACTGTAGAGAGAGCTGTGCTGAGGGACTGGCTTCTGCTCCCCCCGCAGGCTCCCCAAGTCTGCGGGGCTGTTTTCCGGGGACATGCGGGCTGGGTGTTTCACACAGGGTTAATCTCAGGTGCTTTTTTTATTCCTCCAAGTATCAGAATCATTTGTGGAGGGCAAGTTCTTCTCGCTTGGTTCCCAGAATCCTCTCAGGACATCTGGTCTCATTAGAAGATCAAATAGATGCTGCAAGTTCATTACTCATCGACAAGCGAGTCGGGGGGGTGGGTGGGCGGTGGTGGGTTCGGGGCCCAGAGGAGAGAAGAATCACAGGCAGAACAGCAGCAGCTTCTTGACTCACAAAGACGGCTCTTTCAATGGGGGGGGGGCCCCGGCATCTGCTCTTCACGTCCCCCCAGGACCCGAGGAAGAAGTCAAGAGCACAGGCTGCCGTCAGACAAAACTGGGTGTGCGACTGGGAGGTGCGTTGAAAGTGAGGCATTGTATTCAATGTGGCGACGAAACGTTCCTAATATTTTCACAACCCGCTGCTCATCTGTCACCTGGCCTCAGTCTGGCGGCCTCTTCCTGCCTATTTTCACAAACACACGGAGACCCCAACCCAGGGGCTCTCGGAGCCAAAACCTCCCAGGGGACAAGCTCCCGGCGGACGGTGAGGCGTGGAGCCGTTGGGGAGACCCAGTCGCTGAGCGACCCCCCGATGGCCTGAAGGAATTACTGTAGCTTCTGAAGTGACTCACGCTCTCCCCGGGGGTCATCTGGGCTCGGAGGAGACCTGTCTCACAGATGGCCAGTGATTTAGTCATTGAGGACTTCCGATAACCCGGAGATCTGCCTTGACCTCCCCGGGCAAGGCCTGTGTGCTCAGGGTAGAAGGGAATACTGTGTGTGTGTGTGTGTGTGCTGGGATGGGGGTGGCCAAGGCGGGGGGGGCGCTCATCAACACGCTGCCCCTTTGGCTTGGCATCTGCCAGTCCCCACGCTGCCACTCCGTCGCCGTATAATATTGGGCAAGTCATGTTCCCTCGCCTGCCTCTGTTTCTTCAAATATGAAGGAGGCGGTGGGGTCCAAGCCCCTCCCCCACCTCTCCCGGCTCTGAAAACCCCCTGCTTTCTAGGCCAGGGGCCGCTGAGGCCCATGAGCTGTTTCGGCAGCTGCCTGTTGCAAAGCCTCTATCCCTTTGTGCCCTGGCTGGGGGCGCCGACCAGAATGACCTTCGCGGGCGCAGAGCGAGGCTGAGCGGCCTCTGAGCCTTTTCCCCCATGGCCTGCAGCTCTGAAATGGCGGTTTGTCCGTGAGCGCTCTGTCCCCATTTCTGTGGCTATACATGCCACAAGCTGCAAGCTCGGGGGCCGCGAACTCCTCCTCCTCCTCATTCCAGCATTTTGGACCGAGCCCAGGTATCTTTTCTGCACCCCGTAAACATGTGGAAATACTAACCAACCCACCACATTCCCCTTGGCCCTCTGTCCCCTTAAATAGCAAGCAAATGAACTCTCTGGATTCTCTCGCATCCAGGGCAGAGAAAGCAGGGCTGGGAGAGGGAGCAAGGGGTCATTTGCAAAATTGCCTCATTATCCTATTACTCTCCGGGAGCCAATGGGTGACTTTTCATCTTGGGGTGGGTGGCACAGTCATAAGCAATCTGCCCTGTGTGTTTATCTCTTGATGGCTAATTTGCTGTGAAGTTGAAAGAAAAAGACTAATGTTTAAAGGGAAGGATTCATCTTTCTCTCTGACATTTGAAGACTGGAAGTTCTGCAGGTATGTAGGTATGCTGAGGACTGGACCGCGGGCTCCAGGGGGGCTGGGAGGCCACTCCGGGAGGAAGAGGCCTTTCTGGGGGGCAGGCCTCACCCGAGGCAGGTAGGTGAGGCCTGGGGGACACCCCTTGCCTGGGGTGGGGTTTCCTGGGCTACTGGTCATGCCTCATTAGTGCCTCGTCAAATCAGTTTAGCGGGTCACGACCAGGAGTTTTTTAAGAACGTGAAATAAGCAGGTTGAATGTACCAGAAAGTGTCAGAGCGCAGAAAAGGTGGTATGTGCTGTCTAGTGAGACTTTGGTTCTGTGTGTGTGTGTGTGTGGCACGCTTGGTTCACCAAATTCTAGTGCAAAATATATTTCCTGCCGTGGGTCAGAGTTAAAAACTTTTGAAAGCCACAGCCTTGGAGAAGTTCACGCCCGGCTGTCGCTCGGTGCTGGGTTCAAACACCCGGCGCTGCTTTCCGACCGAGTCCCTTCATAAACAGAAGGACAAGGGATTCTTTCTGAACGGGAAGGTCACCCGACGGCTCTACATTGAACCCTTTCTTGGTTATTCTGAATTCTACGTTTCCTCTGAAAAACACTTCAGTTGAATCGCTCCTTCCGATGGAAGCCCAAGGCAGGCGGGGTCAAGTTGGTCTTTCTTTGTTTTTTGGGGGGGGGGTAGCGCGCCTCCCGCACCCTGCAGAAGCCCCCAGTGGTTTGGGCTCCCTCTACCTTTCAAACTACGGGCTCCCCACACCCTGGTCCCCCGTCACACAGCCGCGTAGGAATGCTTAGCGCTGCTTTAGTATGCCGGTTCCCAGAGGCACTTATATTTTAGCCAAACAGCAAACCTCACGCTCTGTTAAAGACTCTCAGAATTTAGCGACGGCGGAGGAAGAGAGAAGTTTGGAGAGAAAGTGTGTTTTCCCAGCAGCCCTGAAGTCCTCACCGGTGGCCGTGTATGTTTCCTTCCCTACGTTGGCTTGTTACCTAAAAACAACGCGCTGATTTTTTTCCCTCTGGATTTGCGAAATACAACTTCAGGGTCTTCGGGTTTTTTTCATAGTTATTTACAAAACTGTCTTCTCATAACACCTTTGAGAGGCGATATTTTGTCTTACTGAACCCAGCCTTCATCTGACACCCGGCTCTCTCTGCCTGGCAACCGGCGGGTCACGGCAGTGAGTGGTTAACGACTGTTTATCACACAAAAACAGTCCTCCAAACAGAGGCGGCAACATTGTTTCTGTGCGTAGAGCTAGGAAGAGAGGACGCCTGCCTGCTCCTTCCTGAACAGACCTGCAGCCTTGCAGAGCCTCCATGGGCACTGGTCCCAGTGCAGCAAGCGCGCCCATTGGCTGAGTCACCACCTTCTGTGTGCCGGCCCCCAGGACTGGGCGCCGTGCCCACAGGGTCTCCTTCACTCCTTGCAAAGCCTTTCCAAGCGTTGCTCCCTCCTGCCTCCTGCCCCTAAACGCCACGTGCAAAGTCCAACAGCTGAGAACACCAGCCTGCAGGAGGGACCGACCCCCCGCCCCCCAACAGGGATGGAGGGGCGGCGAAGTCACAGCCAGTGCATCGCGAAGCTGCATCTAAAACATCATTCTTACCCTCACTTTCAAAGACCTGCCCTGTTCTCATCCAGGCAAAGAAATAGTAAAGGTGAGAACACCAGACAGATTTTGTCTGTGATGAAAACTCGGTGATGGGCACCGAACATCAGTCCCTCAGGCTGCTGCTGGCCTGGCGCTGCTCTGGACCTGCCTCCAGAGCCCCTGACTCCCGCACTGTCGACTGCGAGAAAGCACCGGGGACCGCAGACCGGTGGGCCTCAGCTGTCCCCACGCATGCTGCCAGGCTTCTCCAACGCATGCGGATCCATTCAGATGAAACTTCCCCACGTACGGGACCCACTGCAGGACGCAGGATGCCCCACGCCCACGCCGACCCCCCAGCCCCCTGTCCTTCTCCACGGACAGTTTTTGGCTGAAACCCTGTGGAGGTGAACCCTGCTTCGCCTCATCCTCACATGGGTTTAAAGCCCTCCCCAGCCGTCCCAGGAGCTCAGAGACCGCGAATATCAAGCAGGCACGTCACCCGACCGCGACAGCCAAGGGAGGACCTTGTTCTCGTGATGCATACACTTGGAAATCCAATCCAGAATTCACTTTTGTTTTCACACCAGAGAACAAAACCGCGGACTCCCGAGTGGGCTCTGTAACTATATACAGGTTCCCAGCATCTATATAACTCTCCCATATTAATTCAGTCTTAAGTTTCAGGAAATAAAATAATTATGTAGTTAAACAGAGATCCTTACGCAAACAAGCACGGTGTTTACAATGTACCGATCCATTAGCATCAACGACAGACCTAACCCCGCGCCAAGCAGACCGGCCCTGAGCAGGGGCTGCCCCTCTGCAGAGCCAGTAAACATCCTTTTAGTGGAATTTGCCCCCAAACAAGGCTTCGCCAACCGCAAGTCAAGGCAAACAGGTAGTAAATACCGACCTGACACCGCTGACCAGCCGCGCAATCTGGGTTGAACCACAGCTCAATGTTGGCACTTCTTTTTTTCTTTTCAAATGACACCATTATAAGCTAGCTCTTCACTCGGTCAGTTGTTTTTTCAAGTTTACTAGGTGCTGTTTCCCATTGACTTAAATTATCTAGCCATAAACCATCTGAGTTAAAGGGAATAAATAAAGACCTTGTACTTTCCAGGAAAAAAAAAAAGAGCCTGTTTACCATAATTTACCTTAAACGTCACCCTATAAATTAAGAGCTACACAGCAGCCCCACAAGGTCGAACCGCATGCACCCTGAAGCCAGGGCTCATCTCTGCAAGTCACCAAAGAGGGGGCACGACGGAGGACATCGAAACCGGCAGGCGCGCGGCCCCGGGAGCACGCTGAATAGGAAGAGAGCAGGGCCTCGCTCGCCGGGGCCCCACACGCGGTGGCGGCTGGTGACATACCTTCAGCTCCCGGAAGAAGATGCTGCTCCTGGCCCACTCCACGATGGAGAACAGCGTCTGGTCTGCCATCTTGCACATCAGCCCGAAGGTGCTCAGCTTCTCGTGCCTGCTCCGGTTTGCCTGCTCCTGCTGCAAATAGGCCATGATCTTGGCCTGCACTTGCGGCTCGTCCGGCTCGCACTTCAGAAGTTCCAGGATCAGGTGCGGGATGCTGGCCGGGGAGCTGGTCTGGTAGCCGTCCATGTACGGGTAGCCCAGGAGAGACTCCGGGGAGCTGGTGTAGGGGTCGGGGTACTCGGACTTGATGGCCCGGCTGGGGAAGTGGCCGTAGGTCTGGTAACCCTGCAGGCTGCCGTGAGGTGGCATGGTCATGCTGATGGGGGAGGTGACAAAGGGGCTCCGGTCGTAGTCTGTGGGAGGCAAGGCGGCGTGGCTCAGAGGTAGGCCCTTGGCGGCGGGGTGGGCGTTCTGAATGGCGGAGGAGAGGCCCAGCTCGGCCGGCACCGCCTGGATCACCTGGGACATGGCTTCCAGCTTCAGCCCGTTGGCGCGGATGAGGGCTTTCTTCTGCTGCTTCAGGGCTCTGTCCCTCTTGTACATCGGCCCGAATTTATTCCTCCCTCCGCGCATGCGGTCGGCCCTCACCGCTGTTGGGGCGGCAAAGGAGTCAGGGTATCAGTCAGGTGTGAGTTATTAGCGCTCCCCAGCTAGCCCTCGGTTTCAAAACACGAACACTGCCCAGAGTGGTATATGTGGTTTTCTTTGCAACAGTCCTCAATGATCCCCCTCAAAACCTTGTTCTCAATATTTATGAATTGTTTCCTCCAAGGGTGTTTATCACCAAAACAATATTTGGGATACGGAGGGACCTAGTAGCCCGGGGCCCGAGGCAGAGATGCCTGCACCCCTGGCAGACACTTTGTTGCCACCCCTAGAGGACACTTTGTGTCGCTCAGGTGGGTCCATTTTACTCCTAAGCGTCAGCTGTTACTATACCAGTTACATTGTGATTCTCTTGCCCAGAGGAAAAAAGACATCCCAATAACCCATTTCTAGCTGGAACTGTGAATGTTTTCTCACAGAACATCCTCCTCCTTCAAAGCCACGTTGGCGAATTTGCTGCGAAAGGGTTGGGAACACACTTCTCTTTACACAATGATTTTCCCCTGGACTTGATGGACACAGACAGGTCACCTGATCTGGCAATTGTTTCTAAGCTTAGCCAGACCGGACATAATGAAAGCAAATTCCCTTCAGCAGCGGTCCTCACAGTCCACCGTCACAGTGCGGCCTGGAGTCCGGGGCCGCGTCCACTACGCTGGTCAATCTCCCCTAGCCCACGGTGGCCAGTGGCGATTATACAGACACCAGTGACCTCTGACAGCTTGTGACATGCTGAAATGGTCGGAGGTGACGTTTTTGAGGTTTTTATCTCAGGATTAGTACAGCATTAACAATCTATGGCAAATACCAAGCATCCGGAGAGAGCAGAGTTCCCCGTGTGGGTGACAATTTACCGAATGCTCAGTTTTTCCACTGCACTGGGAATGCAAGTGACTTACAGTTAAGAAAGTATATATATATATATATATATATATATATATATATATATATGTATATTTTTCAGGTAAAGACATGCAACCTTTTTCTCTTGTTAAAAAAAAAAAATCAGTGACATCCTAGGAAACCACAACATGGAGCTTCTGACATTCTATTTTCTAGTTCTCCTACTACAGTAAACCTCTCCGACAGTATTTGGCTTTTGAAAAAGAACTGATTGCTGATAAAGAAATTAATAAACACCCATTACTTCCTTTCAATCTCTTCTTAAAAGTAACACAGACGGAACAAGGCTTGTGACAACCACACCAGCTGCTTCTATGAGGAAGGAGTCTATTGGCCGTTCGGCAGATTTGCCGGGAGTTTTGGGTACGTCTGGCCAGTCTGCTTCTGCGCAACAGAACCAACGCCAACACCGCCGGCCAGGCCTCACCAATCCGACAGCGGTCTCTTGTGCTGGCGGGTGCCTGCCCTGTGCGTTGCCTCTACTGAGTCATTTGCAGCCTACACAATCTGTGTGTGTGTGTGGTGGGGGGGGGTCGGTAGGTGTCTGAAGAGCAGCGACACACCATAGTCACCCACAAATGACAAGTTATGAGCGGCAGGCACACAGGAGCTTCCCCCGCCTGCCGATCTGCACAGTCATGGTCGGGCCTGGCTCTGCTCTTTCAACGTCAAGTTGAAGGTGGCTTTCGAACTGTTTGTTATTTTTCAAGTTTCCTGCTTCTTGACTTTTTTTTTTTTTTTTTAATATTTTGCAGGCTCAGTCATGATCTTTACTTTTTTAAAAAAGTGTTTTCCCACACTATCCAAATTGACACTCTCCACGAGACGGTCCTTTGGACGGTGAGTGGCTTTCATCCTTAGCCAGGAAGCGTGCAATCGGTAGCCACACAAACACCGGGCCTATTGACTCAGAAAAAGGTTCCAGTCAAACTTTTACACGGGCATTCTGAGTCGAAAGCCTGAGGATTGTTATTTTGCAGATTATTTTTATTTGTTCTCAGTTGAATTGCTTGTGTCTTATTTTCATGTAGCCTATTTTAATTTTTACCATCAAATGCAGCTCCTCCCCCACCCCCCCAAAAAACCACCAAAGGGGGGCCCAGCTCCTATTAAATTGTTTTCCTGGCTGATTTCACCAGGGTTAAAATGAAACTCCGTCTCTTTTCGTCTCTTCCGTGGAGGAAACACCAAGTCTTACATCACTGTCAGTGGTGGTAGAGCACTAGGACAATGATGTTGCTACATTGCAGATACAACGTTGCTTTAAATCCCGTGTCCGGGGGGGGGGGGTGCTCACGGGCAGGTGTGTCTGGAGGCATCTTACCTTCTAGCTTCATCCCCACACTCAGACATTTTTGGAATCGGCAGTAAGGGCAGCGCTTCCTCTGTGTTTTGTCAATCTGACAGTTCTGGTTTTCTATACACGTGTACCTCTTGTTATTTTGGACTGTCCGCTTAAAAAAACCCTGGAAGACAGAGAAAAGTGTGAGGCACGTTCTACATCGAACCCTCGTCTCTCTCCCATTGTTTCCTTTTTAAGGATCTTTACGTTGCCCGGTCCGGGCTCTTTGTGGGTCTCTGGTTTGTTTCACGTTTTAACAAGGGGGAGCCCCCCCCCCCAAAGTGCCAGGGCCCCATCTAGGGTTTTCTGGCACCAGAGGTCTGTTCCTGAAGAGTCACATCAAATCTGGGGAGGGTCTGGCCGACCACCACTTCATGGCAACAGTCAGAGAAAAATACATCTCGTAGGGAACCGGGCTTTCCCCCCACTGCCCTGCACACTCAGCTAGAGGCCGTGGGGCCGGCCGGCCCGGTTCCCGGCATCGTCACAATTCCGGTGACAGACCATCTCGAAGTGCCGGTGCGAAACGGACCAGCAGAACACCGCAGATCCTTACAAATGTCAACACGGGGCGGTTAAAAGCACAAGGATTTAAAGAGTGAAAATGGGAAAATGTTCATAATTCCACTGGAATGTATTCCAGTGTGGGAACGGCTTAAAAAAAAAAGTGAAACTAATAGGAGGGCAAGCAGAGCAGAGAGATGGGGCTTAATGCAGAGCGTGTGCTGGCCTTGTATTTCACTCCAGAGTCCCCGAAAACAAAGGCCGTGGCTTTATGATCCCATAACGGTGTTAGGCCGGGCTCTCCAGTCTTTCTGCTCACCCTCCAAGCCATAAAGCGAAAGGAGCTTTGTTGTTCAGAGGGGAGGCATTTTCCTGGCAGAGGTTTAAGTAATTGTACTGAGTTTTCCACTTCAAAAAAAAAAATGTTGAAAAACAGCGAGTATCAAATATACTGGGAATATATATATATATATATAAAAGGTCGGAGATAAACCCTTCACGACTAACTGATATTAGTAACAACATAGTACTTTTCTCAGATTGCCTCCTTCCACTTAAATAGGTCATATATTCATGAAAACTATTCTATTACAAACTAAGACCCGGTTTCTCATTCTTTCACAATATAAATTTCCAAAAATCTTAAAAATTATTTGTGGAGTAAATCAGGGTGAAATCACAGAGGCGGGAATTTGGACTTTTACGCCTGGGGATAATAAATGTTGGGACCAGCAGCACAGCGGGGCTCTGAAGTGAAAAGGTGTTTGGGAAACACTCCGTCATGGCCCCTCTCAAGAACAACGATGCTTTAAATATATATAAGTCAAGCAAAATCAATACCCAGGACTGTTCGAAAAAGAAGTATCTCTACAGCTACATCACTCCCCTGCAGTAAAATACTCCCAAGCCACGAGAATGGCAGTTTTCTAAACAGCACACATTTCTTTGCCTTTTCGACTCAATCAGACACACATCTCTGAGAAGCATTTCCTCAGGACCGAGGCCTTCTCTCTCCTGTTTTTAATTGGGTCTACAACGGACAGCCCCCTCCGAGCGGCCCGAGCCACCCGGTGGCTGACCGGGTCCCCAGCACCCCACTTCTCTGGCAGCGTCGTGAACCCCACCTTGCAGCTCTCGCAGGTGAGGAGCCCATAGTGGTACCCAGACACTCTGTCCCCGCACACCGGGCAGAGCTCCTCCAGGTCTTCGTCGTAGGAGTAGTTCACCATTTTAAACTGAGACACTGCAAGAGAAGACAGAGGGACACAGGGGCCCAGTTAATTCCCTCCAGCGGCTTCCACCCCGAACAGCATGATGGGGGCTGGTGGGCGAACACCGAGGGAGGATACAATGTAACAATCATTTCTGCCCGGGGTTCTTTAGAGACCTGCTCTGCAGTGGAGGTAGAGACTCTCTGGCACCCCGGAGTGTGCAGTTCACATACCTTTTTAAACTTAAAAATGACTCCAATGTCTCCAACATCTACCCACCGACCTCGGTGGAACACACGCCGGCAATGCGACCCATCCAACTAGAGAGAGGAATTGCCCAACTAACAGTTTCGGATTTCTTTGCAACTTCCTTAAAAGTTCCAACAAATGTCACCTTTGCCCGAGGGACAGAAACGAGCACACCCAATGTTCCCCCCTCTGGGAGGAAGTTCGTGGCCCGCACGTCGCCACGAGGCACTGCTGGCCCTTGGCGGAGAAACTCAATCTGACCCCGGAAACCGGGGTCTGGGCAGCCCCCTCCCCGACAGCCAGCCCCCCTCCAAGTTCAGGGCTGTGGGGATTCACGAAACCGGGTCTCCCCGATGCGGATACCCTCCTCGCTGCCCATCTGAAAATCTTCTGTAAAAGGGAAAAGGGAAGGCGCGAGAAGGGAGGTGGGGAAAAAAGAAAAAAAAGAGACACTGGAGGGTTTGGGCTCGTCCCAGCCACGGAAGTCCTGGCATGAACTTCACCTGTTTTTCGATCGTTACTGCAAAATATAAACACCCTGAGACCGCCCTGTTCCAGTCAGCCCGAAATGAGGCCGCGGGCCGCACTGCGGGGCTCGGGCGACCGCCTCTCCAGGACGAGCCCCGCCGCCGCGCTGAGCACCTTCGCTCGGCGGAGGTGGGTTGTCCGTGCCCACAAGGGCAGTGGCCGGAGCGGCCCCAGACCGTACCTGGTCCAGTCCCTGCCCGAGACTCCGAGTCTGCGCGGCCCGCACGGGTCGCGCGCCCTCGGGCACCGTCCTGTGAACCCGCGGGACGGACTAGCCTCTCACAGTTGCTCAACCTCCGCGAACACAGGCGCGCAAACACCGGCTGGGTTTGTTTTAAGTTAATCAGTGGCATTCGCAGGGGGCGGGGTACAGGGGGATGGGGAACCGGTGACCCAGCCGAAGTTTCCTGATTTGTTTACCAAAAAGGAAAGAGAGGTGGCCGCCCCCATCTCCAAATACCTGGCCGCTCCGTCTCCTTAGTGGCCTCCTTGCCAGGATTTGCTCTTTCTCTCTCTGTTTTTTTTTTTCTTTTTCTTTTTTCCCTACTAGGATTCTGTGGGCCCCGGAAGGGGCCGCGGGAAGGGGCAGAGCTTGGTGGCGGGGCACCCAGCACAGCAAACTCAGAGCCCTGGGCTGGGGTTTAACCTGGAGTCAGGCACAGTTTGCCGGGGGCGAATTGGGGGAAAAGTGTTCCCGCAGAGCCAGCTGCTGGGCTCCGGGGACAGAAATAAGAAGCCCCCAGCCTGGCATGGCCCTCTGGGGTGCCAGCTTGAGTCCCTGTCGGAAGCGGGTGGCCCCCGGTTTTGAGAACCTGGGGTTCGGGGAGGTGGAAGATTGGAGAAGTTCGACACAGCCCCATGTTTTCTAAAGCTCGTGACCAGCGTCTGCGGCAGGTTTTAGGGACGGAGAAAAAGTGTACTTTACCACGCCGGGAACTTCCTACCCCCCTGCCTGCCAAAAGTTAAGGCCAACTTCGCATAAGGGGCGCGAGAGACCGCCGTTTCCAGGGGACTCGGAGGCCACTGTGGGAACCCTGCACCGAAAAGGCCGGGCCTGGCGTGGGGACACTCTTGGAAAATTCAAACACGGAAGCCTCGCAGAGAGACCGACGCCTTTGTGTGACACCCGGGTGTCTCTCAGAGCCCCCCGGGCGGTGCAACCCAGGAGGGCGTTTGGAGAACGGAATCTGTCGCGACAAAGAAGTCCCTATCTTGAGAAAGTGGAGGGGAGGTGGGGCCTTGGAAAGCTGGGGCCTCCGAGGCCCTCGGAGAAGTTCCCCCGAAGTTGGGCGCGCGGCGCTGTGCAGCCCGCTCTCCCCTCGCCTCGGACTTTGGCGCGTCGCAGGCTGAAACCCAGAGCAAATGTGGGGATGGGGTCCGCGTCCCGATGGGCTCCTCTCGGGCGTGTGGCCTAGAGGAAGCCTGGGCGGGCGCTTTGGTGCCCAAGGCTAAGCGTGAGGGCGGGCGGCCAGCGGCTCCTCCGGAGCCCGGGGCGCAGGGAAAATGACCGCTCTGCTTTGGGGTGGAAACTCGTGTCAAGAACGCCCCTCTCAAACTTTACAAAGAAAATGTTCTAAGTATTTTCCTCCCATTTCCCCCTCAAACTTCAGACTCTAGCGTCTGCATGGGTCCCTCGGAAACACACGAGTCCGGATGAGAAGCAGAAACTTCCCTTTTGGACTCAAAAATCGTGCCGGCCTCACGGTCGCCCAAAGGAATCCTCTTCCCTCGGCAGCTGGCGGCTGAGGGTCCCCAGAGAGGGCTTCCCTGGCGGCAGACCGGCTTTTCCTCGCCGCGCCCCCAAGCCGCCACTGCGTGGGGACCCCGGGGACCACCACGAAAGGCCACTTTGGGCCAACCCGGTTCCCCTACGTTGGTCCCAGGGGCCTCAGCCCAGGGGACTTCCACAGCCCTTCCTGGAGGGTTGGAGGGACCCCAGGATCGCAGAGACCCTAGGCTGGACGCACACCAACGCCCCCAGCCCCCAGCCCCCGCCCGCCGGTTTCCTCAGCGCCGCCGAGCGGTGAGCTCACCAGCCCTGAACTGCGCTCCCGAAACCTCCCGGCCCTTTCAAGTTCGCTCTGGGGACGGCAGGAAGCGTTCAGGGATCGCAGGCTGGCCTGCCCGTACATCCTGCGAGCGCGCCGGCAGGGGCGAGTATGGAGACCCATAACTCTTCCGAGCGTTCATTGTTCCCTGCCGGGCCCAGGGCCACTGCGGCAAACTTCTGAAGGGCTTCTTGCAGCCAGAGCCAGAGTCGTGATTTGGGAATTCGGTAGAAACGCAGCCAGCGAGAGCCGCTGTTTTTGTTAGCGATCCGGAGCCGGGAGAAATACACAGGACCAACATGTGCCCCAGCTCTCGGGCTGCGACCAGGTGTGAGGCTCCACGGCCCCACCCTCCCGTACCCCTTCCAGAAGGGCTCGCGCAGAGCATGGGGTCAGGGCCACGTCTGGTCCTTCAGTTTTGCCCGCTCTTCTGAGCTTGCCCGGGCCCCGGGGGCGTCCATCCGCATTCTAACGCCCGAGACAGGCCTTGTCGCGGTCACCTTCTCTCTCCGCGGGGGACCTTCCTGAGCACACTGCGCTCCTCCACACCAGCGCACTGGTCACCTCCCCACCGATTCCGGGGACCGAGAGCCTGCTCGAGTTCCCAGTGACTCACTCCTTTCCATTCTCAACTACCTTGAGCTTGAAGCCTCCACTCGGGCGGCCGGAGCCCTCGAAGCTTCTGTCTTCTGAATTAGAAGCGCCTAATTAGGCATTACTTGGAAAACGTGCCCCCCGCCCCGAATGGTTCTAGAGCCAGGAACTTTTATGCCCGCCTGGAGAGGGGGCCTGACGCCCGCGCGTGGCTGCCCAGCCACACCAGGCGCGAGGAGTCCGGGCGCTGCGGCCGCTGGAGCCGGAGCGCCGCGCCGCTTACCTTGCATATTTTCCGGCATCTGCCCCTGGTCTCCATGCGATCGAGCCAGGCCCAGGGCTTCCGTCTCCACTTTAGGCAGCATGACAAGGTGGCTGCGGGCGGGGAGAGGGGCTTGGTGGCCGTGAGGAAGCCTCGCGCCTGGGCGCGACCACAGATTCAGCTCCGGCGGTAAGAACGAAAGGGTGCCGGGGGTCCGCTCGCCCGCCCGCTCGCTGGAGTGTGCCTCCGCCTCCTCCGGGTCTGCGAGTCCGGACCCCTGTGCTCCGTCCAGTACCGCAGTTTTGAGCCTCCCGGAGCCGCGAGGAGGAGACAGAGGTCTTGAGACCCGGCGGAGCCCGAGCGCGCTGGTTCGGCTCGGCGAGGGCGGCGGCGGCGGCTAGGGCGCAGCTGCCCGGGGCGCGGATCCGGACGCGCCGAGCTCTCGGTGCGGGGCAGCGGGGCTGCAGCACGGGCAGCGGGGCGGACGTGCCGCCGCACAGCCGGGCCGCGGTCTCTGCTTCGGATCAGCTCCGCGACTCTCACCCTCCCTGCGCCTCCGAGCTCTGGATCGGCCGGGGTCTCTCCGGCGCGCGCTGCACTTCTCTCCTCTCCGCCCCTTCCCTGTCCCTGGCGCGCGCAGTCACAAGTGTGGAGTGTGAAGTTCCAGCCTCGCTCTCCCGCCTCCTTCACACCTCCCGTGGGTCCCAGGGCAGCTCTTTGCAGCCCGGAGGGTGGCGGTGCAGGAAGGGAAGAGGGGACCAGGGGGAGAAGGGAGGTAAGTGGGCCGGGGGCAGGGGAGCCTGCGCTGAGGGCTGATGACAGTGACCGGGGACTCGGGTTCCGGACTCGGGTCGGACCCCAAGCGCCAGCCAATGAGGAGGCGGCGCACGCCCCAGTCCCCGCGCCAGCCCCAACCTCTTCACCCCGCCTAACCCCCCTCCCACCGCACCCTGGCCCGGGGCGGGGGACCGGGATGCTTCCGGGTCTTACAGCGGGCGAGAGGCGACCTCTGTCTGAATGCAGCTGCGGCGGCTGGAAGGCCGGGGCTGCGATTTCCGTGAGCCGAGGGGGAGCGGAGGGATGGGGTGTGGGGTGCGCCCTCGTGTGTACGTCGGTGAGGGGCTGAAGGTGGGGGGTGGTTTAAACACCCTATTCAACCATCTAAAGGGGAAAGATGTTGCATTCAGCTGGCCGCTCTTTTCAAAAGCAGAGCTCACTGCCTCGCTAGGGTCTCCAGGCTCCTTCCCAGAGACTCAGTCCGCGCGGGTCCCCGGCGCCCTGGCGTGGCGGAGCAGCTCGGCTCACGGAGGGGACAGCCACGCCGCCGCCGAGAGTTCCCTCACTTGCCGGAAATCGTAGGAACACCTACCCCCGTTTCTCTCTTTCAGTTCCTTTACTCACTTAAAGACGCCTCCCCGCCGCCCGCCCCGCACCCCAACTCGAGATTTTCTTGGCGACAGGGCTTCCTAGGTTTTGTGGAACTGCGCCCCGTGTAGGACGCAAAGGTCAGCCTGGGCTATCCCCGTCCACTGCGGTGTCTCGCAGCGGGCCGGGCCGCAGGAGGCCCAGAGGCCCAGCACTGCCCAAAGTTTTAATGGGGCGTCTGTTGGGCGAGTTCCTCGGCCACCGGCTCAGCCCCTCTCGCGGGCTTCCAGATCCCGCCCGGCGGGATGCAGCCAGTTTGTTCGAGCCTCCTGGTGGCCTGGGAGACGCCTCCTGGTCAGTGTGTGGTGGGACTCGGGTGATGGCCCGAGCCCACGCAAGTGGGGGTGGGTTCGAATCTCAAAAGATCTGCGTGTCTTCGGTTCGAACGGCCGGGCGGTGTGCGGCGCACGGAGAGAGCTCAGACCTCCGCTGCGCACGACCGCACTCGGCGAGGGAAGCGTCGTTCCCCACCCACGCGCGCGCGCCTCCGACGGCCGGCGCCGGCCCTCTGCGCCGACTGGCCGCTTTGCTCCTGGGTATCTAGTCACAATTTACTGAAATTTCGGTTTGAGTCGCAGCCTCAGGTTTCATGGAAACATTGAAACTGGGGGGGGGGGGGGGGGGAGCGCTGTACAGTTTGCAAAGGGGCGTGTGCGCTGGAGTTGCCACGACTAGTGATTAAGATGCTCGAACTTTCCTGGTATGTCGGCCCATTTTCAGTACACGACTACTTGTTTTGAATATCACTCAAAATTATATATATATTTCAGAACAGGGATTAATTTCAGGGCCCCAAATCAGGGCTTTGCC